TCACCGTATCACGCAGCTCTTAGGGAACCCTCGATGAAGATCAAGTTTTTCCGACCTTCCATAGAAATGGCTGCCCAAACCGTAACACCATTCCTTCCATAGCTTCTCGGAGTGAAAATATTGTGGAGATATACCGCACTCTTTTCTCCAAATCCTCTCTCGGCCATGAGAAGACCTCAAACAAAACCTTGACTCATCCGAAAACAAGATCTTCCTCAGACCTCAATTTCTTGATTTGTGGCAGGCCTTCTCGCACGTAATCCAGCTTCTGATAGTCTTCTCCTTACAATGCGTAAACTGATCTTGTTGAAGTCGTTGCTTGATCTCAACAGCGGTAGAATGTCGATTACGGAGTGCATTTAAAACAATAAAACGATCAACTTTCTGAACTTTCTGAGATTTGACTCGGTAGCGGCCTGACACATGCTTTCTTCAGTAACCTCCAATATCTTGGCAGCGATGGAAGACCCTTCGGACAGTGGTTCGGGGAATGTTAACCACCCTGGCCAAATCCTCTTACTTATTCCATTTTTCAACAATGTTATGATTCTAGCCGAATCTATATCACTTAAAACCATCACTCGAACCAATTTGAAACTTAAAAATGCTACAACTTAAGAAACGACCTCCGGAACGTTAGAAACAAGCTTTGAAAAAAACCAACAAAGAAGAGACTATTCAAAGATTTATTTACAAAATCCAACTGTTAACACAAGTAGGAGATTTTATCTATATTTTATTTACGTCTAATACCTTACAAAAGAGCGAATATAGTTGTGAGATAATCAATGGAGGATTGTCTAAGAAATCGTTTAAAATATTAAGAGTGGCCACTTTTTTGCCTTCCAGTGTAGTATTTCTTTATTGAGGTTAATCAGATAGAATATTTTAATTTCACACTTCGCTTGATTAAATTACATATGCAAATCACCGATCAGTATATTTTTTTGCATAAGTAATTAATAGCCCAAATTATACACATAAGTCACATATCACTGAAAACATCGGGAATAAGCTGACAAGATGCCATCAGTTGCTGAAGTAAATTAATTAATTAAGAGAACAGGGAATGCGAAATAGAAAGAGAGAGAGTGAGTGAGAGAGAAAGTGAGAGGGAGTGAGGGAGAGAGAGAGAGTAAGGACGTCAAAGAAAGTGAAAGAGATATAGATAGATAAATAGATAGATAGATAGATAGCTAGAGAGAGAGAGAGAGAGAGAAAGTAAGAGAGTGACGGAGAGAGAGAGAGAGAGTAAGAACGTCAAATCGAGGAAAAGAGTGTGTGAGAGAAAGTGAAAGAGATATAGATAGTTAGATTAGGTAGATAGATAGATGGAGATAGAGAAAGAGATATAGATATATAGATTTGATAGATAGATAGATAAATAGATAGATAGATAGATAGATAGATAGATATAGAGAAAGAGATATAGATAGATAGATAGATAGATAGAGATAGAGATAGATAAATTTGATAGATAGATAAATAGATAGATAGATAGATAGATGGACAGAGAAAGAGAACGAGAAAGAGGAAGAGAAAGAGAAAGAGAAAGAGAAAGAGAAAGAGAAAGAGAAAGAGAAAGAGAAAGAGAAAGAGAAAGAGAAAGAGAAAGAGAAAGAGAAAGAGAAATAGAAAGAGAAAGAGAAATAGAAATAGAAAGAGAATGAGAAAGAGAAAGAGAAAGAGAGAGAGAGAATCTAAGTTGAAGTTGCCATTTTGAAATACATTTTTGCTTTGTCCATTGGGTGTCACAATGAAAAAATTTCGTTACTAAATTATGGTTAAATAATCATCGGGAACGATTATGGACTGTAGAAGTTGATACACCCTTTATATTAAAACATATTCTATTATAAATTATATTTTAGCTATATTAATCGAAATGTTTAAAAACAGCAGAAAAAGTTTAATAAATCAAATAATCAAATTTAAAAAATTATTAACTTACAGTTGGCTTAGCATTTTGCTTTTTTCGATAACAAATCAGATTTAAAAAATGAAAGTTTTGCTTATAAAATAAATTGTAACTTTGTTGGCTGACTTTGAAAAGAAAAATCCTTAATTAGTTGAGAGTAATTAGTACGAGGTACACAAAACCTGTTGTAAAATATTTATGATCAATCTCGCAGTACAAACATTCGGTCATGCGTAAGTCATTGATGATAATGAAAATCGGTTGCCTTTTACATTTCCTGATAGATAATCTATCAGGAATTCATTTGTAAAACGTGACTGACAATGAAAAATGACCAACAGGTTAAAAATTTGAGTCTCACAATCAGTTCTGGAGAAGTCCAAGCAGTTATATCAGATCTTCTTTATTTTTATGACCTAATAACAATTCAAGAAATAGCTTTCGTTTTTATTAATTGTCCAGTTTTAATAAGTGAAAAGATAAAAGGTACGAACCTTTCGGACACTTAATACACTTAATGTTAAATGATTGTCTTTTTATAATTTCCTTTCCAATTAGAATTATATACTTTAAGTTTGCTATATGTATAAATGTGTGGTGTTTAGTGACCGTTAGTTAATAATTATTTGGAGATTGTGAGATGCGGTCTGGTGTGACGTAGGTGTGCAGACAACACAAGGCCCTGAAGATGATCTCAATAAAGATCGAAACGTTGGAACCATAAAAAAACGTTTATCTAAAACCTACGTCACACCAGTCCTCATCTCACGATCTCCAAATAAATATGTATAAATGTTTTTCAAACCCTGAATCTTGCTACACAACCACACAATCATCTAAGCAAAAATTTTTCCTTCTGTTAATTTAGTGCTGTTACCCTTTTCACCACTTCTTAAGCAATTTTAAACACAATTTACTAACTTATTTATAATATATTTATTTGTTAAATAAATCTCGCGTTTGACCCGGGAGAATGAAATAGAATCCGAAGGGAGGCCCCTTTGCAGTCAGTTTAATATAAAAAGAGCACTGAGAGAAACCCGAACCCAGAAAACCCCCTCGTTTATGAGCTCTTTTCAAAGGAAGGGGCCCAATAATGATTAAATGAGTAACCCTAACCCCCTTCAAATTTTTAAATACAATTAATTTGGCCGTCACGGGGTCTTCCTCAGCAATGATACCTGAAAAAAAAACATGCGCATCTGCACATTTTATCTGTTAGTCTACAAAAGTTATCAATTCCTGAAGTTTATTTCTATTAGGTACACGTTTAACAAAATATTAAACACTTATTCTTGTTTATTGTTCGGTGTTATTTATTGCAAGTTGGGACAAGTCTGTTTTTAAATTTATCAATTATTTTTTGTTCAAAACTCGTTCGAAGTTGCTGTAAATATTACTGTAAATAGTCGATTGTCAATCGAGAGAACACAGATTTGTTTAACTCATAACGTCATTAACAAATAATAAGTTTGATGAGCTTCAATCATTTTTTACGAGTGTCTAAACTTGATTTTTAAATTATTCAGAAATCGTTAGATGCGGTCTTGTGTGATGTAGGTTTCAGAAAAACATTTTCTTTATCGTGCCAACGTTTCGATCTTTATTGAGAACATCTTCAGGGCCTGGGATTTACAAACATTGTTTAAATTTAACAAATACATGTAGGATGTGGAAAAAAGTGAATTTATACAATGCAAAATATATTTTTTATATTGAATCAAAGTATTTCTCCACACTCAAAGTGTTTATTTTTAAGTGTACGAATTTTCTTGCAATCGATAACTCGGTGGTAGAGAGGGTGAGACGGAAAGAAAGATAGATTATAGATGGATTGATTAGTGCGTTATTAAAGAGACGGACAGGCAGACAATCAGAGACAAGAAAAAGAGAGGGAAATGGATTGATTATTTGAGTGATTGATTGATTGATTAAGACTATAATAGAAAGAAAGAAACATATAGACAATCAGAAGCAGAAAGAGTGTATGAGTGGGGTGAGAGATTGATTAATTGATTGAGTGAGTGTTGGTATATTGAAGAGAAAGAGGCAGACAATCAGAGAAAGTGGGTGTGGGTGAGGTAGGGAGAAAGAGAGAGAGAAAGAGAAAGAGTAAGAAAGAGAGAGTATAAGAGTAATACACACACACGCGCGCGCGCGCCAACAGACACGCACACACACAGAATATTATTTAACGGTTTTGCTTTATAAGGAAAAAATCATTTCCCTTTTTATCTTTCAAAATGTGACTATAAGGGAAACCTGTGGCTGTTAAGGGAAGTGAAAACTCATGTTTGCGTAGTGATAAAATCAAGTTAGATCGAACAGACCGGATAAGTGCATAAAAAGTCACATTTTGCGACTTAGTCACATTAAGTCAAAGTTTCAATTAAAACGTTAGAATTCGCTACAAACTTCTTTCTGTAGAAAGTAATCCATTATGATAGGTCAATTGCAATATAACTAATTATCAGCATCCAATATTATAATTTTCTTCGTCCAACTTTCGTCAAGACATTGAAACAATAAATAATAATTAATCTTTATGTAAGGTATTGGTTGAAATGAAAAAGTTAGTGTCACGAGCGGGCTTCGAACCCACGAATCCCGCTCGTGACGCTGACTGTTTTATTTCAACCAATACCTTACATAAAGATTAATTAATTTAAAGAAGTTATTTGGTCAATCGGACCACGAAATATAATGGATTAAATAATAATTTAAACAGCTAACAAATATGAACGTTTATTCACAATATTGAAGAGACGGACAGGCAGACAATCAGAGACAAGAAAAAGAGAGGGAAATGGATTGATTATTTGAGTGATTGATTGATTGATTAAGGCTTTAATAGAAAGAAAGAAACATATAGACAATCAGAAGCAGAGAGAGTGTATGAGTGAGGCGAGAGATTGATTAATTGATTGAGCGAGTGTGGCATAATGTGTCGAACATAACCGTTCCATTCCATAACCAATAATTGTTTATTATAAAAGTTTATGATAAGCCTTCTAAAATATTTTTTGCTGGTTTATAAAATGAATATTTAAATACTAATAGATTTTGTTTTTCTCTATTTCAGAAAATGAGGAACCCTCTGTAACAAAAGAAGGTAAGTTTCAATCAGTCTATGATAGAAAGCTGCTAGCATAAGCTACAATCACGGCGACGTGTGTCTTCCGAAACATAAATGTTTTCCCCATTCAAATCCACTTAAATCACACCAAGACTTTACGACATGTCGTTTACCTCGCTCACAATTTCCCGATTCGTGACTGGGAGCAATAATTGCCTTGTCGGTCTTCTTTCCGGAAGGAAGAAATCGTCGGCCCTCCCGTATTATATTTCCATTCGGTTTTCTCCTCCATGCCATCACGTTAATTTCCCCGCGGTATGTTTCCGTTAACAAAAAAATGAATCCCTTTCCATACATATTGTTGAATATGATTTTTGATTCCATACATTTGTTGAACCCTTTGCTGAAATTGGCCAGCGAGTGGACAAAACAATTATTTTTACTGACGGCCACTGACCGGAGAGCCGTGATACAAATTATAAATCAATTTTGTACGATATTAGAGACACGACACAAAAAATAAGCATACAATAAGATCGATCACAAGAAAGAGAGAGAGAGAGAGAGAGTGAGAAAGGGAGGGAGAGATGAAAGATTGGTTGATTTATTAACGCGTTATTAAAGATAAAGAAGATAAAGAGAAAGACAGACAATGAGAGACAAGAAGAGAGAGAGAGAGAGAGAGGGAGAGAGAGAGAGCGACTAAGAGAGAGGAAGTGAGTTGAATTGCAACGCTTTATTTATAATACTCGCAGATTTAGGTCATATTAACCTTTCTTACAATCAACGAGTAAGTAAGACTACAAGCGTGTAGGAAAGAGAGAAAGTGAAAGAGAGAGTGAGAGAGCAAGAAAGTAAGAGAAAGAGACAACGATTAAAAAAAAGAGAGATCGAGTAGGGGAGAGAGAGTAAAAACAAGTTTGAAAGAGAGAATGAAAGAGACAACGAGTAAAAAAGAGAGAGGACGAGTGAGAGAGAGAGTAAAAACAAGTATGAAAGAAAGAGAGAAAGAGTGAATAACGAGTAAGAAAGAGAGTAAAACTAGTAAGAAAGAAAGAGAAGAAGTGAAAGAGAGTAAGAGTAAATCTCGAAATGACTCTCTTTCATTCTGGATCCTCAATACCTTTCCAGATATAAGGAAGGTACGGGTACGTACATTTATTAGTTACATAATTATATATCCGAAATTGCTGTAAATTTTATTTTGGTCACCCCCGCATTACAAACAATTTGTGTTAATAATGGGTCGGGTTGAATTGCTACCGTACGCTAAAAGATTTCGTCAAACTACTGAGCATGTTAAATTCTTACATTTATTCGACGAAATTTATTATTGCTCAAGGATTATCCGATTTCAACAACGGTATGACCTGTACCAATTTTTCTAATTAACGTGGGAATTATCGCGAGTCTTCGAATGTATTAATATTACGAGTTGGAGGAGGCGAGGGAAAATTTGACTGGTCATCGCGATTATTCATGACTGGAATGTCCGTCATTTCGCGGATGACTTGGCCGGTTCCGACTAACTATAGAGATAATTTTTACAACTATTGCATTTCTATATCATTCGGTCCTCTTTATTCTTTTTAATACATTTTTCGCGCGAGTCCAGATTATCGCATGTAAAATGATAAATGTTTTTGTACAAATCGAACAAATGGATGTTTCATCTCGAGAAGCTATTTTTTGACAGGCGAAGGAAAATGCATCACAGCCAAGAGGTGAATCTCGGGATTCGGTCATATTTTCGTAAATAAATGTAATGCTCGAGGTAAATTGTTGTAGGGCCCGGAAATGGATTATCCGGATTAGTACGACCTCGTACAAAACAACAAATTCGGGCACTTCCACAGCTCGAGCGCACCTAAACACACGTTGAATTCTCTGATTTCTTCTTCAGTCTTAACTATACCATCTTGCATCGAATTCATCTCGGGTATTTTTTTTTATTTCTTCGTTCAGTATTTGGATAAATTTGATTGACGATCGATTGAGCATTTGACGCATATTCTAATGTTTTGAACGTTTCATCGGCATTTTTGGGATCTGGTGTAACAGTTGCGAACATAAGTGTTTTTGTGTTGCCGTTTAATGAACCTTTCAAAATCGGCGTTAAATTCGATTCACTGTAAGGAATATGTTTGCCATTATTATTCAGTGCCTTGTGGCAGTGTTGCCTGCCTTCCAATGCCAGTAAAGACTTGTTTATATTTTTTGTCTCTTTGGTAGTTCTTTCTTGAACTGCTTGATTTGCTCATATATTCAGAGCCGGCCAAATTGATGAAATTTATTTTTCCGTTTGTGCATAGCCCGGTCAATTTATCCATCATTCTGATCCAAACAGTAAAATTGTGTGACATCGACTCGATAATTTATTTAATAATGCTGACAACATTTGCCTTTTATTTGCTCCCTCTTGTAAGTATTAAAGCATTAAAAGTTGACTACAATTGTGCACTTGAATTGTGAAAGAGAAGGGGGGAGAGAATAAAAGCGTCTAATAGAGAGAGATAGAGAATAGGGGAGAGAGAGTGAGAGAGAGTAAAAGCGTCTAATAGAGAGAGAGAGAGAGAGAGAGAGAAAAGGGGAGAGAGAGTGAGAGAGCAAAGAGATAAGAGAAAGAGACAACGAGTGAAAAAAAGAGAGAAAATAACGAGTGAGAAAGAGAAAGAGATAGTGATAGGTATAGATAAAGTGAGCGAAGGAGAGAGAGAGAGAGCGTGAGACAGAAAGAGATATTTGATTAACGCGTTATTAAGGATTAAGAGTCGGATATGCAGACAATCAGATACAAGAGGAACCTTACATTTCTATGAAAAAAGAAATTTGAAATCTCGCATACATTTATCGTTGTTTACTAACAGTAAATAGAATATATTTTTTAAGAAATATATTATGTCACAAAGTTTAAAAATGTAACTTACTTTCTTGCTATTTTAAAATTTCAAGGCTTCAACAGAACCATTGGACAGAACCTAACCAAAACATTCACACCCAATCAAGTAAATTATGCCATGAACCAACCACAAAAGAAGGTTCCCTGTAGATCTGTACAACAATCATTCTATACCTCAAAAAGCTATATTTTTCCGTTACTTACGTTTACAATTCTGTCCTTAGAACCACCATAAATCAGTAATCAGTAAAACCTATGGACAGGAATTTGAATATTAAACAAAACAATGAAACAAAATTTACATCTGAACAACAGGATAAACCACCAGAACAACCGGGGCATGAAATGCACTAACCTTATTGCACTGATCTTGTGAAATCACCGACAAAATAATTAAATCATCCCCTTAATTAAATTCGGTCAGTATTCCATCATTCTCTTCTGTGGAAAGTGTTCCACTCTCTGAGTGCCTAAGGATGGTAATTGAGCCGTTCCCGTCATGAATAACACCTACCTTTAGTCAATTGTCACATTACATTTTGAAAAATGGCAAAAAGGAGGGAAAATTCGAAAGATGGGGTTGAGATGGGAAGTTAGTGCCCGAGTGGATCGAAGTCACGATAGCTCAAGTAGTAGAGCAGCGGCGTATTTAGCCGAGGGTCGTGGGTTCGAATCCCGCTCGTGACACTGACTTTTTCATTTCAACCAATATCTTACATAAAGATTAATTAATTGGAAAAATTATATTTCGATGTAATCATGTTGATTGGTGCTTTGTTTTACAAATTTAACCGGCAAGACGTTGGCTAATCTAAGGTAAACAATTTTTCAGGTAAATACCTTACATTATTTCCTCATACCCAAATTTGACCTAAATTCCAAATTTACCGTCTAAGTAACAGTAACTTCACACTCGATCCAACAAAAACACCATTAGAAGCATATGTTGGGGTGGCGGGTGATGGTTCACGGTTGGCTCGTCCCGTTAACGAAAAGGTCTGGGTCCCATGTGAAAGAGCGTCCCTTTTGATTCAACGAATTACTTTAAAGCTGGCGTTAAAGCTTCACTTTTGTCTATAAACATTTGGGTCGTTCCAGTTGAAAAATTCTCGCAAAAAAAACCTCGACGAAGAGTAAATAAAACGAAAATATGTAGTACATGAAATAGAAGGGTAGAAAAGAAAAAATATTTCTAGCAATTTGTAAGTATTTAGATGTTTAATAAACAGAATTCCAAAGAATAATAAATGGAAGATGAACTAAGAATATTATCGAACTTCAACAAACCACGCTATTTAACTGGTAGCTGATACACTCCACGCACAGAAATGACACCCCCTGCCAGTCAATAACGCGTGTTTACAGAGGAAATGTTGAAAACAAAAATTTAACAATTGAAATTAGTAAATTCACTAATTTCGTGGTCCGCATGATCAATTAATATATTATAATTAATTAAGGTTTTTAGTTGAGATAAAAAAGTCAGGTCATTTGTCGTCGAGAATCCAATCCGATTACACGACATTTGAAAAATAGCAAAAAGGAGGGAAAATTCAAAAGGTGGGGTTGAGATGGGAAGTTAGTGTCCGAGTGGATCGAGGTCACGATAGCTCAAGTGGTAGAGCAGCGGCGTATCAAGCCGAAGATCGTGGGTTCGAATCCCGCTCGTGCCATTGACTTTTTTATCTCAACTAAAAACCTTAATTAATTATAATTGAAATTAGTTGAAAATGAAAAATATGAAAGGAAAACAAATGATAACCAAATAGCCAGACAATTCACGATAAATTAAAAGTTCCACCTGAGCCAAAGTAAAATAATACAGAAATTTAATAATTTAACAAAACAGTATTTTCACAGTGCAATAGTTTGGAAAATCGACGGTTGTCGTTCTAATAAATCCAAGCATTAGCCCTACCAAAACTAAATGTATCCATGGAAGCTTAAGTCCTTAATGGTGTTCTTCTTTTTATGTGTGCCCGTCCATTAAACAATGATGGAATTAGGTTTACAAAAGGTTCAATGTGATTTGTAAAGAGCGAATCTAATTTGCAAAAGGGTGAATTTCATTTGTGAAAAAGTTAATTTAATGTGTAAAAGAGTTGAGTGAATTTGATTTCCAAAAGGGAAATTGGTT